CATCCGGATGACTCTTCACCCGGTTCCTCAAAGTCGCCTCCCCAAGCGTCTTCGCCACGCCGCCCTTGCGAAACGTAAACTCAACATCGTCAAGCCGGCCCCCGTTCTTCTCAATCACCTGGCGCCTCTGCTCCTTGACCTCTTCCGGCACGCTCCCCACCCCGACGCTTTCCAGATCCTCAAACTCCGCGTCACCCCTGACCCCCTGGAAGAACGGGATCGAGAACCGCGCGCCCTCGCCTGGCCCGGGGCTCAGCACGCGGTGCGTCGTCGACACGCAGACGCCCTGCGTCAACGCCTCCATCCCCTGCCCGATGGCGACCACGAGCGTCCCGTCGATGGGCGGCGCGTCGATCCACTCCCCCTTGACGTTCTGCGCCTGCAGCCCGCGGTGGTGGCTCGCTTGGAGGAGGTAGCTTGTCAGCATGCTGTCCTTATGCGGGCCGACGCCCTGGCCCTGCACGCCCGACGCCGCGTCGATGCCCAGCTCGCTGACGTCGGGGTACTTAACGATCTTCAGCTTGTGCTGTTGGTCTGTGTCGAAGTACTTGTTGAAGGCATTAGGCGGGAGGCCGATGGCCTCGGCGATGAGGGAGGTGAAGGCGATGGAGATCTTGCCCATGCGGTCCATGTAGTCTGTGAAGGTGTCCCGGAAGCCGGGTAGGGCTTGTTCTGAGGGCCACTGGTTTGGTGCGAGCAGGTTGTAATAGAGAGGATCTTTTGCACTTGGCACTGGATGCTCCGTCGAGAGGTCGATTTGTTCGCGGTGGTCTATCTTGCCAGCTGTGATCTCGGCTGAGAGTTGGGAGTATCCCAGGAAGGACTTGGCGTTCTTCATCTCAATCTTGAGTCTGGTGAAAGGTTAGTTCGTCCGATGCGTCGCGCTCAACGTGTGTGTGAGCCATATAGATGAAGTATGTTGTACTTTTCTTCCGTGGGAATGTCGAAAAAGGCCTTTCCCTCCTTGATTACCCTCTGGAACAGCTCATCAGGGATACCTGCATTTTTGAGATACAGGAAGCCGATTTCCATCAGCGCATGGCGGAGGTCTGCAAGAAATTGAGGCTTCGTTTTGGGATCCCGAGACAACGACAGGTCGAGGACTGGAATGGATGTGAAAGACATTGTGTCGATGAGACAGAGTCCGAAGAAGTGAGACACAGAAGTTGTGGTGAGATTCTCGTCAACATGCACAAGGGGCCGTTTATAGCAGCAGAGTTCTCCGCACGTGCTGCACGCAAAGGCGTAAGGAGCGTATGATAGATGCAGATATCGGAAGAAAGGAAGTACGACCGTGTATGTCAAGTAAGCCGATGGCTATTGAATTCCCAATGACGTGACGGGATGGCGTGCTGCGGCAGCGGGGCTCTGAGCGTCGGGTTCTGCCCCGCATCGGAGCCGCGGGGTACTAATTGTACGGCTGTCTTCGGGCCAGACTAGGCCTGATTGGGTGACGTGTTAGTCCCCTGAGACCAAAGTCAACAACTCCAACGGCACAGTCGACGTTGTTCCTGTAACCAGTCTATTATTGGGTATATTAAACAAATTTTGACAACTTTTAAGTCTATGATGATGCCAGAGGTTTCGTCGCTAGCATCCCTGTGACCTTGTAGAACATATCCTCGACAGACGGCATGGCAAATGCTGGCGCCGCGTCGAACAACTCCGCTAGACGCTGCCTGTTGATAGTGGCGGGCTGCGCGTCGTCATCGTCCAATTCCATCTCTTCGCCAGCTCCGTTTACCTCGTAATCAACGGCCATCTCCTCGTCTTCTTCCATTTCCTCGTCTTCGATGGCATCTTCCGCAACAGGCTCACCATCCAACTGCATGTCCTCGAGTGGTCTTGAAATGGCCACTGCGGCAGTGTCGGAAGCCTCAGCGATGGTCCAGACCTGGGCCGAATCGTCAACTGCGACAAAGCCAGAGGAGCTTCCTGTGGAGACCAAGCTCGTGATTCTGTGGGGGATGCGCTTGACGCAGAGCAATTCTGGCTCTTCCGGCTTCATGACAGCAAGTTGCGAAACTTGGCCGCCGGGAACAATGACGGCGAATGTTCTTGACTTGCGGTCAATGGCCAAGTGGCTGAACTCTCTGGTCATGTTGGCATTGCGCCCGCGAGGCAGCTGGATGCCATACTGCAACTCGTCGGCAACCACATCGTACACTCTCACGTCGTCGGAGAGAGTGATGATGTAAGGAGAGAGAACTTGCAGGCGGCGGATATGTCCCTTCCACATGTTTTCCAATGTGAGCCTGATTTCACCAGATTTCGTGTCAACGACGTAGACGGTTCCGTCATTTGAATTGCCAAAGGCGATGAAGAGAGTAGACCCATCCTCGGAGAAACAGAGGCTGCCGCTGCGCTCACCAGCGTTTTCGCCAGTGATTGCCAGAGCGTCAGATCCCACGCTGCTGCCCAAAGCCACGGCAACAGCACATGACCAGGACTGCAAAACTTCGCCGGATGTGCCTTTAGATTCGACGCCATCCTGCTGTCTGACCTTGGAATGCCATATCCTCGCCATGCCGTCGTCGCCCAGGGTGGCAAAGCGATTCGAGGTGTGGTCCGCAGCCAGATCCAGGACAGTCTCAGGTCGGCTGGTGATGTGGGGGTTGTTGATCCTGGAGGACAAAGCGAAAGGCTGGTCATCTTCGCCGACAGCCCAGAATTTGAGATACACCTCGCGTCTCGCCCTGATAAACTCCTCGCGAGCTTCAGGAGCCATCTTCTCCAGATCGCGCTTAGGGGGTTGCCAGTCGTCAACCGTGGCCAGCCAGCCACCATCCTGAGAGAAAGCGACGTGGGTTATGCGAGGTTCCGAAATTGGGTTTCCCTTGGACGTGATGTTGACATCCGTAGGCTGGGTTCTCGCAAGGGCTTGCTTCGCGACGCTTCTGAAAGACTCCATGTCGAATGACTGCAGCAAGGGCGCAGACTGTAGGTCACCAGCCAGCATGGCCTGTTGACCGGCACCTGTGCAGACGTACAGTCTTGACGGCTCTGCCGGGTTGAGAGCGGCAGGCACATGGTGGCGTACCTCACGGTCGGCTGACCAGACGCGCTTGACAAGCAAGTCTTTGGGTGTTGAAGTGAAACGAGCCGCCGATTGGATGCCGGAGATGTAAGTTTTCGGAACCATATCGGCAGTCGAGACAACCATGAGGGAGTTGTCATCAAGGTGCAGGGCGTAGGAGGATCCCGCGGGCGACACAACCACGTTTTCGATGCTTCCTGAAAGATGGGGGAAGTGGTTCAGCTTGCCAGTGTCCATCTGCCAAATAACAAGGACGTTCTCAGAGCCGCCAGAGAGCATGTAATTGCCTGAAACCCACAGTGTCAGTCAAAGCTTCAAAGTGAATCGAGTCTTATCACCACTTACCATCCTTGGACCACTTGACGCTATGCACTGCTCTCCTGTGCCAATGGTACTTGCGGCCTTGCAGGCTGTCCCTCTTCGATTTGGGCGCATTCAGGTTTTGGAGCTTCCTGAGGATGTCGTTGTAGTAGTAGATGGCACCTCGAGCACATCCGGCAATCAGATCGACAACAATGCCGTCATCTCGGTTGGTAATCTTGAAGTCGAGGGAGCAAACGATATCGGTGGTGTTGAAGGCAAAGAACTCGCATTCCAAGCCGAGGTCCGTCTTGGTGACATTGGGTGTGACTGTTCCGACGATAAGATTGTCTCTCGTGGCACCAATAACCGTCTTGCCATCAGTGCTTGAGCGTAGCAGGTGGATAGTCTGTTCTGCCTGCTTCGTCGTGAAGAGAATCTCACATGTCGGCTGGGTAAAGTCGGGCCCAGAGTACGCCACAATCTCGCCCTTCAACTGCACCGTTGACTCCGACACGTAGATGACTTCGATGCTGTTCTTCTCTCCCTGGATTGCTGCGACTGACATGTCAAGCGCAGTTTGCGACTTTGTGCGAAACTCCCGGTCGACTTGGGTTCCCTTCTTCCAGTTGGCGCGCCAGACTCTGCCGTCGGAGCAGGCCACCCAGACAAAGTCTGGCTTGGTATGAGAGAGGCATGTGGCCACGATGTTCGGCGCATTGGACTTGTCTCCATACGTATTCTGGACCACTGGGAGAGCAATTCTTCGGATAAGGAGGGATTCGGCAACCGAGTAGATTTGGAGAGAGGTGTTGTAAGTAACGATCAAGTACCTAGTCGCACGTCAGACAAGTCAACCAACACAAGGCGCGGGTGCTCTCACTTCTCCTTCTCGACGAAAATGGGGTCGATATCGGCCATGCGGCCACCCATTGGCGCGGAAACCTGCCATCCAGTCGCCTGGGGGTCTGAATTGCCCAGGTTGGAGAGCTCGGTCTCGATTTGGTCGTCCGTAAGGTTCTTCTTGAGCTGCGACAGAACGTTCAAGGCGTTGTCACGAAGATCCCCAGAGTCGGTATCACCGTTGTTCGTAGGCTTGCTTCCCTTGTGCCGTAGGCGCTTCGTCTGGCCGTCCTTGTCGCTTAGGTCTCTCTTGCGCTTCTTCGTGTCGGCGTCCCGACTTCTCGGGGTAGAGGGTGCCATTTTTCTTTTGTACAGAGGTCGACAGAAAGCAGAAAGAGTGGCTGCTGTTGGATTCGGGGCGGTAAAGAGGGAAAAATAACTTTGCAGCCGACCTTCGACGATTTGGCTTGGATTTCCTGCTCTGTTCCGCTCGCACACGACCCTTCCAGAAAAAAAGTTCGGAGAGTTGCTTCCCAGGAATTTTTTGGTCCCGCTGCGTCGCCGGGCCATGCAATTGGTGGATATCCCCACAGTGGATCCATTTCTGATAAGATAAGCGGATAAACTAGCGGACCGCTAAATTTTTGTTCAGCACGCCGCAGTCAGCGGGCCCGGTAGTACCTCTTTCACAGTTTCTTCGGCGACGGCGACTCCATTGCGATCGACTGCGCGACCGAATTTTCTACGTCCAAGACGACCGCTGCTCCACGCTCAGTCTTCCGATTAACGGACATCTTGACACCCCGAAAACACCGCGAAGATGATCATTCCCGTTCGTTGCTTCTCCTGTGGCAAGGTTAGTCGATGCGACGCCCTTCCGCGCAAGATGCGGTTTCTGACGAATCACGCAGGTCACTGGCGACCTTTGGGAGCGCTACCTCAAGCTCATTGACGACGGCATTACGGATGGGTGAGTTGGAGCGGCTGGCCTCATCAGGCATGTTCGAGCGCATCATTGACATTTCACACAGCGACGCCATGGACCAGCTTGGCCTCAAGCGCTACTGCTGCCGTCGTATGGTCATGACCCACGTTGACCTTATCGAGAAGCTTCTCAAGTATGTTTCTCCGTATCTTAGGCGGCGTTGTTCCAGACTTCTTACGCGTAACTTCAGGTACACTCCCGACGGACGTAACGAGAAGAAGATGTCCTTAAACCCGTAGATTCAAGACGGGGTGACGGTATATTAGGAGTTTGGGATATTCAAAAGCATTGCAAGGCGTTAGGGAACCAGAGTGCCTGAAATAAACAACGGTTTACAACCCGCGCACGACGGAGAACCGGCACCCACTGTGCCTATCAAGCCGATCGAGTTACAGAGCAACGTTGAATCCCTGGTATTCCCACCCGCGATGAGGTTTCTTGCCTTGGTGATCAGGCAAACGCACGTCCCCTCGCAACCAAGAGAGACGGAATGAATCCGAACTAGGCTTGCGTTTTGGGCTGTGAGCGGAGATTGGGAAACTCTGCCTCGAGGATGTTGCGATTTCAACATCATTCTGCCGCTTGGTGTACTTTTCATGTGAAAAGAACGTATGTCGGGACCTGGTTGATTTAATGCGACAGTCTTTCGTCTAGCCATGTCTGCTGTTTTACTTGGGCTTTTGTTCCAACAACTGTGGCATCGGGGACTCTGGTTGAACAATCTAGGCGGGTATACCAAGCGGATTATTGGACAGGCATTCCACAGGATGTCGCAAGCCCACGCCCAACTTGGCTGCAGTGCGTTAGTCGACTGTTGGTGCTTCAAGTGGGATCAGAGGAAGTCTTCGATCTGGCGGTCAAGGTAGAAATAATTGTCCAGAACTTTCAACGTAACACCATCGCTTCCCCGACTGGTTACCTGTCGCTGACCACCAGTCCGCCACTGTATGTACTCGAATCATGAGGGCATGATTGCTGAATTTTGCATCTTGTCTCGGTCAGAAGAGCCTCAATCACTCGGCAGTCTGGGTATTGGGGGCCAAAACGTCGTTCCTCAGTGGCTGGTCAGAGCCCCGTAAGATGGATGAGACAATGCGTCTTCGTAGTCCAACAGTCCAAGAGGCTTGCCAATTGCTGCCCGAAAGGTGTGCTAGTCGATGTGGATGCATTGAGTGCTCCGCCGAGGCTCATCGTCTTCCTCAACCATGCAAATCATCGTATATCATCAACCGCATGGGTCGGCTAGCAATGGCAGCAAAGTTGCTGCGCAAGTCGTAGGATGAGTCCGGTGGCCGATTGAAGAACCCGAGGAACTGGAAATGACGCGGCGATTTTGCCGCGAAGAGCACCCAGAGCACCAACACACTTTCCAGAACCGGATAACATCCGCGGCCTTGGGGCCTGGTCTTCATTTCATGGGAGGTAGTGATTTGTCGGTGGGACGCAGGGAAGTACTACACGTCTTGGATTGACGCACGGAGTGCAGAGTATGGAGATAAGTCCGCCTGATGGATGCATTGTGCGTAAACAAACAACGGTTAGAAGACAAACTTAGGATCAAATCCCACAGCTCCACCCATGAAGTTGATACTTTCGCGCAAGACGACTCCGTCGTAACCGCGATAGAGGATCCAACTGGCGCGCAATGGCTGCTGCGAGTGGCTCGCTAGACCCAGAAAGCAGAGAAGCTCAGCTTCCTATCGGTCGCACAGAATGGAGGCGTTGCCCGAAATGGGAAGACTGAGCCGTAACAATTCATAGAACAGAATTGTTGGCGCCTATGCGCGTTGGCCTGCATGCGTGATGCGGTCGTGGCGCCAGGGATACCAGCGCCGACCCCAGTCAACCATGATCCATATGTCGGCGTCCGAGTTAGGAGCAGTCTGTGTGGTGTTGGAAGGCCGGAGAAGTAGCATGCATACTCCGCGAGGCCTTTGATAATCTTCTGCGATATCAGAGAATCAGGAAACGCGGCAGCCCGGCGATATAGAGCATCGTAGCTGATCCTTCCAGGCACCGCAGACGAGGGTTTTGGATGGTGTGAAGTACAACCCCATCACCCCTCCCGCCTCCATCGGCGATCAGCAAATGGTGCCCGGATACAGATTCCTGGGTCCTGGAGCTGGCACCCCGCCACATCGCCGGGGTCACCTCCGCTTGTTTACCAGAATATTTGCTAGCGCTGTGATCAGTGGGAGGCACCGACAGTTATCACCGCACTAGGTGAACAGCTGGGAAGGAACTCATCAAGGATGACGAGAATGACCAAGAATGCCATGGCGAGCTCAGGGCCAACAGCATGCGGCAGGAAACATGGACCCGAGTTTCGGGACAGCTTGGGAAGCGAGGTTTTATCAGGTGATGATTGTGGCTGCGGGACATCGACACCTTGCCGGGGAGGTTGGCCAGGGCCGCGGGTATTTCGAGATGAACTGGAATCAAGCTGGTCCGCCTCATGGTTCCGTATTTCCGGGTTCTGAGACCGGGGTCAAGTTGCCAACAATAGGAATCTTCGTTCCGCCGCATGATCCCGAGGAGACTCCGGGAGGGGACAAGAGGACGCCGTGTTGTAGCTGTCCATTGCCATAGTGGCTCTTGACCCTTTCCCACTTCCGTCCCGGAGGTTCCCCGGGCCCTGAACTCGCCGGCATTTGGAATGTCGGTCAGTTGCCATAGTCGACTATCGTTGCGATCACGCATGAGGGACGAATGCGGTTGGAGGTGAAAAAGAAATGTGGCACGACAACAGCCATTGAGAGAGAGCGTCAAGTGACGAGAAGAGAAGCAAGGGCAAACTCTCAGTCGGAGAACCAACAGTTGCCATGGGAGGTGAAGGTGATGGGAAATACGTACCTGCCGTGCCAGTAGGGATCGAAGCCGTTACTGGGTCCGGGCTTGTTCCCCAGCGTGTCAGTCAGTACCTGAGGTACCTTAGGCGGGAGGTCGATCAGTGGGAGAGCGGGTCCACTTGATTTTCAAGACGTGCCAACAGCGAGAAAAACCGCCGCTGGCCCAAATCGTCGGAATTGCTGTTACCATGAATAGAAGAAGCGGGGATTTGATTTGGAGCGACCAGGAAAAGACAAGGTACTCGCAAATCGGCTTGGGAAGTGAGTATACCCAGGATGAAGAATGGAAATGTAGGCTGATAGGCAAGCGTCACAGACGACAAGATACATACGTAGGTCCAACCTCACGACCACGATCCATTCCGAGTTTACCTGAGCTGACATCTTACCAAGAGTTCGGATAACGCTAGGCCTAACGCTTCCAGACCTGATTAGGCAGACAGACTATCACCAAGCAAAGCAATAGCAGTGGCACGTTGGTTCGGACAATGGGAACAGAATGCCCGCCCCAGCCACTGGTTATTTGTTGACCGACCGACTCGGGCCACCACCAGCACACCCCCTGTCGAGTATCGCGGTCGAGGCCACTTTCGGTTCCGTCAGTTTGGAGTCAGCAAGTAAGAAAGGTGTGTTGGAGCTAGTGCAGGTGTACGAAGGTGTGTGAAAGTGTGCAGGTTCCAACAATTGTCCCCGCGCCCAGCAAAGCGGAGCCTCCCATCGGTCTCACCATCTCACCAGGGCGGCAAAGGGCGGCCGAGACAGGCTGAAGACATGACGGACGGGCAGAGACGCACGCGTGTCACCGCCCCCAAACGCAACACAGACGCACTTGGAGGAAGCGTGACTGAGTGCTCGCATCTTCCATGACACGGCATCAGCGGATTGGCTCATGACAGTATTTGAATGTCTGAATGGTGGCTAGGAGACCATGAGAAGAAGGTTGTTGCGAGATATCCGCCCATCCACCCTTGATGCACAAGAAGGAGCAGGCACGCTGCAAGCAATCGAAAAGGGCGCAAAAGTCCCAACTCAGCCATGCAGACACGGTCGATACCGTCGGGCCCAACACACCGGCTCGGCCTAAGAACTCGAGTCTGCGACCTCATCTCGTCTCGTTGACGCAGACTGTGGACAGCCAGGCAAGACATTGAAAGGAGGACAGATGCGGCGTGGCTGGCTGTCTTACACACGACCTACCCGTTGGAATTGAGACTGCTCACTGTGATGAATGACGGCGGGCACCTCGTTCAGTACCGCCAACAACAACAACAACAACAACAACACCAATGCTTGAGCCACGTTGTTAACCGGAGGAAAGCAGCCATTTACACCTGCGCACCGAAACTACCTACTTCAACGTTCATGTTCTTCTTACCTTCAAGGCTTGCCTTCCCTTCCCTTCCCAAGCTCCCTTCCCCTCCGAGCACTAAGATGCCCTCCACCTCCGGGGGCCATGTGGGGCTACCGCAGGGCCAGGGCAGGTTGTGGTTCGCTGGAGGATGCGACGCCCACCTCTGCTAAGCGCCGACGCCTGTCTGCTTCATGCAGCCCACAGCTCGACGATGCTCTTCTCATCCACCGACACAACGCTGTGCTCACGTCTGACTGGTCGAACCCGTCAGGAGGTGTCTGCCATGTCCTTGGGGAAACACGCGCAGCTGCACATCTCACTGGCTCCTTCTGCCTCCCAAGATGCCTGCAAGTGCCTGCCCTACCAACTGCCCCTCCAGAGCCTTTCTTGGGTCAGAGAACGAAGAGGCCGAACAAGCAGTCCCACGCAGCCCACGGATTGGATCATGCCTGGGTCCCAACGCCTCCCGTCCTCTTTTTTTTTCTGTTCCCACGCTGTGGTCCTCGAACCTGAGGGACTGACGGCCATGCCAACAACACCCTCTTTCCGTTTGTCCTGCCGAGCTGCTCATCTATGATTCGGCCAGCAAAGCCAAAGCCGATTGCTCTCGGTCCCTTCTTTCCATGTGAGGTGCCTGTCCATAGGGCGGACCGAAATTCGACCAGCCATTCAGACAACACCAGAGAACTCTGACATCTGTCTCATCTAGCTTGCAACTCGTCCGTCATCTTTGTCTTGCACCGTCCCGGGTACCTTACCATCGACTCAGGTCACGGAACATAGAGCACTCACTTCTGTCTCTTCGTTTGCAACAACTCCACGCTTTGCTGCCGTCCCATCACCTCCGACCTGTGCTACCAAGCTCTACCCGCCCTGAGTCTTAGGACCCTGTGCGGCACAGGCTTGACATCCACATCGGCTGTCGTCTGTCCTGCCTGGCTGTCTGCCCGTCTTCTGTCTTCTGTCCCGGCTGCGCGAGACCGACTGGACGACTAGGCATTCGGTGGAGCCGTGCTTGTCATCCGTTTCGTCGAATCTT